ACTCAACAATCGGCCATGTGCTTATGAAAACGAAGGAACTGCGCTTGCGCGTTTTACTCATTCTATCGCGATATTTCATTATCCTATCGTTGCCTAACATTATACCGGTATTACCGAGAACGGTATAATATGGCCTAGCCATAACTCACAGGTCAGGTGCACACAGCCACTTAATCAGGTGTAAAGACTGAGCACACGTCTCAGGGTGACCTGCTGTCCTCCAGCCAATCAAAGCGTGACGTCTTGGGCTCTCTTCATTAAAGGGCATGCTGGCTCCGAGGCGTGCTGGCTCTGAGGTGTGCTCTGCATTTTTAATCTTCTTTAACTCCGACTTAGTTTGAATTTCAGGGTTTTTACTGAAATCAAATAAACATTAAATGACCTGCTCAGAATCAGTAGATCGCCCAGTCCAGGTCCGTCACATGACTTCCTGTGTGATTCCAGCCTCATTTATTATCTGTTGTATTGATAAGTTTGTAGCCGACCTGCTTCCTCTGTCCATCCTCATCTGTTCTGCTTGGTGTGAAGGTTAACGTGTGATTGGCCGATTCCTCCCGCAGGGATTGGTTCACCTCCTTGGTGGGAGGGTTAAAGCGTCTCCTCTGGTTGCATAACGAGGTTGGGGGGTCATCTGAGACTCTGAGCTTAGATCCTCCCTGATTCGGACTCTCGGTATCTCACGCTGACGCAGATCTGAGCCGAAGCCTCCCGAGGCCCAGGCTCCGCCCACACAACCTGCATCTCATTAATATGCATGAGACCAAAGCACCACCTGGGACCACGCCTGGCAGACATCCTTCCTGCTCCGCCCACACACTGTGCTCTTCATCATCATCATCATCCTCCTACTCACTGTGGATGAAGACATCATGTCTGAGCCGGACTCACTGACCCTCAGTGACCTCTGACCTCTGACAGTCCTCCTCTGGGACTCCCTAAAGAAGAGGAGAGATATACATGTGAGCACAGCTGAGCGGCCCCCTGAGCTCTGAATAAATCACCGTGTTCATCAGCAGGAGCGCGAGGTTCCAGACGGCTGGATCTATTTCTCTGCTGGTTTAGGCACTGGAAACAGACTCTGTGGTGTTTGCTACAGGTTGGTGTTGATGCTCTTTGGGTGAAATTGGCCTCTTTTCATCAGGAACCCTGCACGCCAAGCTGGAGGGAAGCCCGGTGCTGTTGCCACGACAGCAGCGGGTCTGAAGCTCTGCAGCATCCCTCCAACCTGGCGCCGATTAACGACGCAATGAACCGACAGGCTCGTCAAAGGTGTGTTATCAGCCGTGGTCGTTACACACACACACACACACACACACACACACACACACACACACACACACACACACACGCACTGTACTGACAGGGACTACAAAGAGAGAGAGCCTGGTTCTGCAGGTTTCTTCTTGTTAAAAGGGTTTTTGCTTCCCACTGTCACCTGTAGGGTCCACCTTATGATGTTAAATGCCTTTATGCAACTGTTGTTGTGATTTGATGCCGTATAATAAAGATTTATTTGAAGCTCTGCAGCTGCAGGTCATTATGAAACCTTAAGGTGGAATTTCTCTTCTGTCGTGCCTCCTTAAACACTCGCAGCATCCAGAATAGATGACCTGGTTTGTGAAACAGAGGCAGAGGAAGTGTCCTCCAAGTCTGAGCCGTCAGGCTGATCTGGGGTTAGTTTTCGTCTTTCTCTTCCTGTTTCTTTGTGTTGCCTGCTGCAGATTAAAAACGTTCCTATTGGCTCTCTCTGCTGCCTGTCAGCCAATCAGATAATTAACCTCGATTCTTCATTTTCTCCTCTTTCCTCCATCAGTGCGTGAGTTCATTCTTTCTGTCTCTCTCACACACACGCGCACATGCACACACACAGGGTGTTACTCCACTGTGATGGGCGGAGCATCAAAGTGCCTCTCTCACCTCTCGGCTGGACTGTCACTCATCCCTGCTGTGCAGGTGGTTTCCATGGAAACGGGAGGAAACTGGACTCCAGGTCTGTGATGATGAGTTTTAAAGCCTCACTACAGCCCATTAAATACAGAAATCATGAAGAAAATGTTTTATTTTGGAAAAAGTTTCGAACCATTCATTTATTTAGTGATTATTATTATTAAATAAATTATTTAAAGGAACTGTGGTCAGTAGTAGGACCCTACATTCTGTTTCTCTTAAATACTTTGTTGACAACTGGAGTCTTCCCTGAAAGTTTTAAATCAGCTGTGGTAGTGCCGATCTTAAAAAAAGCCTGGACTGGTGTGATGGCATCAGCCACACAGGGGTAAATTAGTCCATTTTTTACTTTATTAGTTTGCTTTGCAGTTTTTTTCATTAATCATTTGGTTAAACCTAACACTGGTATTATGAGGCGCGCACATAGTAACATTGTGTGGATTTTCTAAAATGTTTTGTTATATTAATTATGTTTCTCTTTCTTTGAGTTACCTGGGTTTGGGCGGTGGCTGTTTCCTGTCTGGGCAAAAGGCGTGGCTTAGGACTCTGGGAACAAAATGCCTGCTCTGCAGGACCAACCATGGGCTTACCAGGTGCAGGGGTGTTTTAGGTTTAGTTAGGTTATTCTGTGCTTAGTTAATATTAGTGTGTTTTTGTTTTTCCCCCCTGTTGTGTGTAAATGGTTTGGCCAAATCATTATAAAAGTTACCCTCATGTGTCTTTGTAATTAGGTCAGTTTGTGAGTTAAGTTGTGTCTCACTTTGTTTTGTTTAAGTTTCTGGAAATTCCTTTTTGTAGAGTTATAGTTAGTTGACCTCTTTTATGGGCCTGCTAACTATGTTTTTGAATTTTGGACTTTTTGAGGGTTAAAATAAAGAAAACCCTTTTTGAAGACACTTTTTTTTGCCTGTGTCCTCTTTGCTTTGGCTGCTTGGTCCCTCACAACTGGATGTTGACATGGTTGCAAACTACAGACCCATCTCATCTGTCTTTTTTGTCTAAGGTCTTTGAAAAAGTGGTTTATCTGCAATTAAGGGCTGGTTATTGGATAATTTCTTGCTCCTAAATACTGATAAGTCAGAGTTGATGGTCATTGGGCCACACAAATTTCAGCACTTGTCCCAAAATTTCATCTTCAAAATTGTGTCATAAATTGCAAGAACAAGGTAAAAAACTTGGGTGTGTGGTTTGACATGGTGCTCTCCTTCAAGTCTCATGTAAAAGAGATAACAAAGACCGCCTTTTATCATTTGAGGAACATCAGCCAGAATCAGACAGGTTTTGTCAAGCGACACTGCAGAGGTTCTTGTCCATGCATTTGTGTCCTCACAAATGCATGGATTTGCACCTTCATACCTCTCTGACTTTTTACACCTTTATGTTCCAGCCCGTGCTCTCCGATCTCAGGACTCTGGCCTTCTAAAGGTTCCTAGGGACAGAAAAAAGACAGTTGGAGAGCTTTTACTTTTCGTGCCCCGTTTCTGTGGAACAACCTCCCTCAAGATATTCGGCAGGCTGCTCTGTGGAGGTTTTTAAAACTAAGCTGAAGACACATTTGTTCACCCCATCCTACAGGTCTTAATTCTGTGGCTTTTAGTTTTTAAATTCTTACTGTTTTTAACTTGTATAGTATTTTTTAGCAGCTGATTTCATTTATTGATGGTTCGAGCCTGAGCGGCTGCAAAGCAGCCAGAGGCCAGTCAGCAGACTTCCTGTGATGTCAGCAGATCTGAGGTCAGATTAATGCGACATTTGACCTTTCACCCTGCATTTAGGGCAGAGGTACAGAGTAGTTCAAGTCGGATCCATGCAAAAAAAACAGAACATAAGCTGTTCAAACCGCTGCCTTCAGGAGGCGCTACAGAGCGCCGTTTGCTAAGAGTGACAAAGCGGCATGAAGTCATTGACCACTTGTCCTTTGACCATATTGATAATTTATTGCTCGTTATTTTACAGATGACCGTAATGCTTTGATTTAGATGCTGCTGGTTAACACACTATCCCGGGTTTGTCTGTGGCAGCAGTCGTTACATCCATGCATGTTTTTAAAGCAAACACTACGAACCATCAGGTCATTTCAATTTTCTTCTGTTCACAGGCAAAAGTCTCCTAAATGATGTTTCTTCACGTTTGATTATACTCACCATGTTCGCCCATTTATTCAGGTCCTATATTTAAACAGGTGTGTGGGAGGGGCCGCCCCAGTACTTCCTGTTTATATAGGGTCATGAGGTCACGGATTGGCTCATTGGGTGCAACCAAATGAAGGGTTTTTCATTTTGTATAGTGTTGTTTACTTTCTTTAAATTAGCCTTTTGAGTTGTATTGCATGCAGTGTTTTACTTTTCAAACCATTTAGCCGAGTAAATGAGTTTCATGCATAATCTTATTGCTGTTCTTTGTATCGTTTGACCTGTTTGTTTCAATGGTAGAGCCTAACGAGGCTCAGGTGTATGTCGAGTCCCGTACAAAGGAAGTGGGACCAGGTTGGTTGTTTTATGGTCGAATGGAAAAATAAAGAGAAACTTGACTAGTATGCTGATGCTGGCCACTTATCACCTTCTGTGGTAGGACTCGACTTAAGCGGGCAAAGAAGTGCAGGAGACTGATGCTGTCCAGTGTAGCCAGTGATTTATTCACCATTTTGTGACCCAAACAATATTTACAAAGAAACAAATAAGAAACTCAACTCTATAATTAACTCAGTCAAATAAACAGAACTGAACTTAAATCAACGGAAATTAAGGTCAAACTGCACACAGCTACACTGACCTGAACCTCTTGAAACACCCGAGTTCTTCTGCTTAAATCGTCCACTTAACCAAACACTTTCTCCTCTGGACTATTTCACTCAGTAGGTAAGATGAACATGATTATATTCAAACCTCTGCTACTCCTCTTTACTGGCAACATAAACTCTGTGGTGTAATCAATACATATTCAATACACTATTTCTCCATAAACCCTCTAAAATCAACTTGATTAAATTATAAGAGTTCTTCCCCTTCTCCACTTGGTCTCTTTCTGTGACCTCAGATGAACCCAGAAGCTATAAAGCAGGAAGTAAAACTACATTTCCTCCTTTTGTTTCTGGAAGACAAGTAGGTAAGGTAAGTTCTAAACAATACAAATTAACAGTTGAAATAAAGAACATGTTAACTTAACAAACTTGTAGGGATTGATTTAAACCAAGATGTTATATAATCTGTGAAAGTGCAAAACATAAACAAACCCGGGATAGTAGATGTTTGCCTTTTGCAGACGACATGTGAAATATGGTTCAATCAAAACAAGAATGTTAACTAAGAATATGGACAAATGCTCTTCTCACCCACTTTGTCACACCTTCCTTGCTGCGTGTGTTACCTTGCTGTACGCTACCTCACAGGAGACTGTTTCTTCCCTCAGGCTGTTGCTCGGTGATATCAGACATTTACAATCACACGACTGCTCAGTTACAGCTTCGTAAGACTTGGTGCAGCTTGTTGTTTCTTACTTGTTATCTCTCTCTCGGTCTGTATCTACCTCTGGAACGTATGCACAGCTGTAACTGATCTCAGGTCAGCAGCCAGCGTGTCCCAAAGAACAGAGCACTGAGATCTGACCCCAGAACAGTTCAAAGAACTGCAGCTGATGGCCTGAGAGGTGAGATGTGCTGAACCACTCACAGCTTTCTGAACTAACAGAAGGATTTAAAGGTAACTCTTCAACACCAGGGTAGTGTGGTCACATGACTGTGGTCACATGTCATGCACCTGTGAGGTCGACCGGCTGATGAGTCTGAGGGTCCTGCAGCGTTACAGTAATCTGAGCTGTGTCAGAGGCAGTGTGACGTTAGAATTTGTAACCTCGGACATTTTGAAGTGACAGAAAGCAGTTCTGGCAACATCACCGATGTGATCATCATAACTCACATCATGTCAAAGTGACTTAAATATAAACAGATTTACATCAGAGGAAACGATAAGTACGCCTGTGTGTCATCCTGAGGCACTGAGCATGAGCAGTGTGCCTGCAGTCAGAGGAGCGTGTCACAGTCTGAGGGGGCGGGGCCAGACCTGCTGCTCTGCGTGTGCGTTCAGTCAAATCAGCTTCACCTTTACTCTGAATTTGAATGAAAGCAAAGCAGAACTTAAAATACCAGCATGACACACACACACACTCACACACGCATGCACGCACGCACGCACACACACACACACTCGGCAGGACACAAGTGAGTATTTCACTGCAGTTTTGTTGTACTTGTACTTTGATTTCTTATAATGTACTTTTGAAACATGAAGCTGTGCTGCTGTGTACGAGTCACAATCATCCAATAGGACTTCCTGTGAGTCCACGGTCTGATTTGTCTCTGTGTACTTTGTGAAGCTCGTATTAACCAACCCGGATACCTGCGATCCGTCTGTACGAGCCTCATGTCTCTGCCCTGGATTCCTTCCTGCTCAGATGTTGTGGTTCCTGTGGACGCCCTGATGTGGACGCAGGCCCCACTCACAGGTCATGAACTTGAACGTGGCTGTCTTCTCACTCGGCAGCCGTGGGGGTAAAGCCTCTGGGCTCTTATTTTGAAGGTAAATGTCTGATGTGACCTGCAGCGCATGTCTGAAGGTTCAATCTTCGCTGCTCAGGCTGCACCTCTGATCTCTTTGAGGACGCGTCTCTATCAGACACATGCTCCTTGTCTCCATGGTGACAGAGTCACGTGTTTGTTTGTTGAGCTGAAATATAAAGTGTGTGATGTCATCGTCTGGAATCTGACTCCATCTCAGCCCACAAGCACCGGAAAACATCAGGCCCAAACTAAGTGTCCCCCACAAGGTATCCAACTCAAATAAATCCTCTCTCACACACACACAGACACACACACAGCTGCTGTGAAGGGCAGCAGGGATTTGCTGTATCTGATGGTGTTGAGGGAGGCGAGCAAATGGTTGGAGAGGGGGTGTGTTTCTCTCTCTGCGTGTGTGTTTGTTTAAGGGCACTCTCAAGGATTTTCAGTGTTTCCTGTGAGCAACACTGCAATGATTTATTTCTCTGTTCCCTCTGAGCCGACAGCCTGATCCTGTGTGTGTGTGTGTGTGTGTGTGTGTGTGTGTGTGTGTGTGTGTGTGTGTGTGTGTGTCGTCTTGCAGCCAAACCTGCGGCTCAGATGGAAAAACAGGGAAAAAAAAGTGAGCCGGTGCATTCAGGCTCCTCTGGAAAGCGTAGCATCTTCTTCGTGCTGTCAGTGAAGCTGCGGTGCAGACTGATCCGTGATAGGTTCATCCTGGGGACACTGTTTTCAGCATCAGTGCTTCCTGATTGTTCCCCCGGGAAATTCTCCAGAGTCCAGAGGGAACGTGGACAGATTAGCTCGAGTAATTTCACACAAAAGAGACGAAATCTGCTCGCCTGCGAAAGCATCAGAGGGGAAGAGCGAGCGCTTCTGCTGCACCTTTGAAAAGACGCCCGAACGTTTCATTTTACCTTCTCACAGCTGTTTCCTGCAGTTTAAACATGATTAGTTGTGTTTTTGTAGATTTGACTTTTGTATACAGTTTTATGTAACATGAACTACAGCCGCCTACATCCCCGTCCGGCCGTCATTCAATGAGGCCACGCCCCTAAAAACTCAAACTTCAAGCCTTAATGTGAGTTCTAAAACCATGGTGGGCTCGTGATGCCGTGACACCATCTGCAGTTTGTGTATCAGGCTGTAACATGTTTATTTTAACATGGGAGCCATGAGGACCGCCGGAATCCCCGGTGGACATTAGAGGAACTGCAGGTTCTGGTGATTAAATAGTTAATTTGTTAATGATTTAATTTAATGATGTGAAGCAGCTTTAACGTGAATCTGCAGCTGGACTGTGT